GTATGTATGTGTATATATATATATATATATATATATATATATATATATATATATTCATAGAATGTATATAAATAATTTCAAAGTGTATATAGAAAATGAGATGATTACTGGTATAGAATTTCAGATGCAATTTGCTTGTTTTTAGGTTGGGCAGTGAACATGAATTGCTTTAAAACTTTATTTCTGCAGTAGCACATCTTACAGAAGTTATTAAAAATATTTCCCCCTTATCTTACCAGGGGCACAGGGAGCCAGAACTGGTGCTCCCTAAAAAGAATAGGTGCATGACGGCCCTGATCATATCCTGCTGCCCATATTCATCCAAAATAATTTAGCATTCTTTAAGTTCAGTCTGACTGTACCTATAGAGGAAGTCAGCCTGTGCAGTGCTGTGTGTGTAATGGACTCACTGACTGACCTGTACAGCAGGTAGTGCTGCAGAGCGCTGAGAGGCTCATTAATCAGACGCACCGTCCCATCTAATAGCACCCGTTTTGTTGCATGTTCCGATAAGGCCACACTTTGAATAGATGTGAATCAGTGGTGACGGGCTAATGGCTGTCACCTCTGTGTAGATGAGTACCATGAAATATTCATGGTTGTCACTCATCTGCTGCAGGGGACAGTTGCAACCCTGTTTGTGTGTGTGAGGGTCTTCATTCGGGTCCTGTAGTGAATGACAAGCGTCTCCTCCGTGCAGACATTGCACTGTGAGTCCACAAGAGGACATGCTTTTCTCTGATTGTTTTCAGGAGGTGTTGATGACTGAGGCCACTAAATTCATTCTCAATCAGTTTATTCTGCCCTCACTTAACAACCAGATTTATGTACCATGAATTAATAACTGTACCAGTGTATAATATACAAATTGGTTGTTTTATGTAGTGTAATTTTTTGTATAATTATTCTATTATAGTATTTAATAATCTTTTGATTTAGCTCTTTTATGCTTTCCTTTTATTTTTTGCTTTGTGCTTTTCTCATTTTTTGCATTTTTTTGTTTGTTTTTATGTTTAATTGTTTCACCTAATATTTACATTTCATTTTATTTCTGCTCTATTTCAGTTATCTAAAATGATTTTTAATAGTTTTCATTTTAGTTAACAACAGGTATGCATTTTGTTTGCTTTATAAAATGTATAGGGCTTTCTTTAAAAATAAATAATAATAAAATATGTAAATAATAAATAATAGCAATAATTAAAAAATAAATAATAAAACAATAAATAATAAAAGTAATATTATAATAAAAATAAATACAAAAATAAATACTTTTTTTCACTCACAATTATATATTTTTATATTTTACATTTTAATTTTAGTTGAAGTTTTCATAATTTTGATGTGATTTTTAAAAAATGTTTCACCTAATATTTACATTTTATTATATTATAAAATATATAAAATGTAGATTAATACTAATATTAATATTAATATGTATTAATAATAATAAATGTAATATGTAAAAGTAAATATATGTAAAAAATTTGTCTATTTTATGTCTATTTTATTATATAATGTGTGGATTTTATAAAAAAAACATTATCTTTTATAATATTTAACATCCCATCAATGTACCACTTTTACAAAAAAAAAAAAAAATCTGCAATGCATAGAATATGTTGATATTTGTAAAGAAAATTGTGATTTTTTTACCAGCATTTAAAACCTACAACCTGTAACTGTATAAAAACATTTTAAATACTTTTTTTAAATATTGAATTGTCTAATTTACAACTAATTTGAGTAATCACAGAAATTCTTATACAACAATAGTAAAATTCAGGTAGATTACAGTAACATGGTTGATTAAAAAATGTAGTGACTTGTTGCTGTGTTCAGAAACAGCCTTTAGAGGGAGTGAGAGAGTCAGGAGTGATTTTCTGACTTGATGTGGGGTGACGCTCTGTGCACCAGCGCTTAGATGAATGGTCCTCGTGCGGATCCGTGCCACCGAGATACGGCGTTACGCAAGTAGGCCCAGAGCAAGGTTTCTCTGGCTGTGAGTGGGTGGCAGCCATTCTTGTAGCTGCCCCAGGAATCAGGCTATGGAATCATGCGCTCACCAAATCGCTCTCTGTGGCTGCTCGCATCGCGCTGTTCAAAGATGTCACAGTAAATAAATTAATTAGTATATGGACACAGTCAACAGAGAGGCTTCGCTCACAGCCAATGCTGTGACAGAACATGACAAGTCTTCAGAAAGAGATGTTAGCATTGTGGGAGTCTGTTTGAAAAGATTATGTAATGGATTCATGGGATGTGTCACGTGAAAATATGAAAGAGCTCATGAAATGGTTTTCTTTTCTGTAGAGCGCAACAGTGGCTGTCCACTTTTTCAGTTGCATTGGTTCCAGAAGTATTTGTTGGTTAAAGAGTTAAGCAATGAACCAAACCAACCATCTACAAGGAGAATCACATTACAAACACTGAAGCAAAAAGTATTTGAAAATCAGGCAAAAAGACAAGGTTACGAAATTGTGTACTCAACACTTTTAATGAGAGAAAGAACTAAAATCCCATGAAGCATTGCAAATGATATAATCAAATTGAAAATGATTGAAAATTGAAAAAGGAGAAATATACAACTGCTGATTGTGTATATAGAAACAACATATTTTAAGTTTATTGCAAAATATGCACATATACAAACATTTAATTAGTAGTTTCAATTCTCTGATTGGTGAAAAACGACTTTTAGTAGTTTGAATTTTAGTTTTGTAGCTATATTGTTTGCTATGTAAAATAATATATTTAAAATAAAATATTAAAATAAATAATACATGTAATATTATAATGAAAATAAATAAAATTATACACATTTTTATATTGTTAGTTTTACTTTTAATTTTAGTTTAAGTTTTCATACTTTTGTTATGAGCTTTTGTCATTTTTATTAGTTGTTTTAAATGTTTCACCTAATATTCATATTATATTTTCACTTTATTTCAACTAAGAAAAATGATTTTGAATAGTTTTAGTTTTAATTTTAGTTAAAAAGTTATCTGTTTCATTTGGTATGTAAAATATACATAGGGCTTCCTTTAAAGAATAATCTATTAATAATAATTAAAAATACATTTTAAAATATTGATTTTGACTAAAGATGATGTTAACTAAAGATGTTAATTGTGTATATAGAAATGTATGTTTAATACAAAATATGCACATGTAAACAAACATTTCATTAGTGGTATAAATTATCTGATTTAATTATGGGAAATGTAGTTTTTCATTAGGAATTCTTCTGCTAAACATAATTAAAAAAAATAAAAATAAGGTAAAGTAATTGTGGACTGACGACTTTAACAGAAGCATATACCATTGATTAACAACCTCGTAGCTCACAGAAGCTCTGTCTTTAAAGGTTCATAAATTATCGTTAAAAATCAATAATGGAGGACATGAATGGGATTTTTACATCTGGAATTGATATGAAAGGCTCTAAAATAGGTTTTAGTTGCTGTTGCTAGTCACAGGTAGGAAAGGACAGACCATACATTTTAAAGTTTTAAAAGTTTGTTTTGTCGACTTTTAGGAGAGCACTTTTAGCCTCAAATTTAAAATTGAAAGTGAACACAAATTTTAACCTCTTTAAACTGCTGGAAAGAACACTAACACTAATAAGGCACTAAAAAAGTTTTTTTTTTTTTGTAACTAATCACTATTCAAAGAAATCACGTAGTTTGGATTTTTGGACTTTTTCACACTTTTATGTCATAAAAAGTAAAGTAGAGCTGCAACAGGACAGGCTTTGTTAGCAGATTGGACAGTTTTCGCTGCCATTTTGCTGTAGGTGGAGAATTAATTTCCATATATTTGTGGTGTGCAGCACATCTATCTATCTATATCTTTCAACTGCCACATTTGACTGTATTTTCTATCCATAATTCAGTGATAATATATCTCAGGTACGGCGTTCTCAGGATCAGGATATAGCCCGTAGCTGGTGTCTTCAGTGAAAATCATCCCGTGTCATTTATTACCAGAGCAGCTGGAACCTGACAGTGATGTAATGTTGATAGAAGCAGACATATCTCATCCTTCTTCTCTTTAGCTTTGCCGTTTTGCAGTGCTGTCGTGGCTTTCGCGGGTCAGTTTTGGGATGGAGCAGGATGCCAGCGGAGTCAGTTGAGGTTTGGGTCGGTCGGTCTGCCGGCAGGGTGCTGTCAGGTTGGGCTGTGATCTATTAGCGCACCATTAGGACAGAACGGACCGCACACCTGCTGCTCTCCTCCCCGTTTCCTCCCTCACCTGCCCCATCACACAGCTGGGCCAGTTTCTGCTGCGCTGACATATGGCAAACCCCCCTACAGCGCAGCATGAGTGTGTTTGCCAAGCCTGAGCCTTGCCCAGAATTATGGGGATACACACAGAAAATGTTCTTGGGATCAAAACAGCTAGACGCTAAATGCTAAATGCTGAAATCCTGAGACAGGTCCCAAAGTTGAAAATTTTAAAGGTGAAACCAACACATAATCACTGTAGGACGCCCCCTATCTGCTATTGGTTAGACAAAGAGATAGTCCCGCCCCAAATGCTTCCTGTTTTAAATACTGTGTACCTTTTATAAAGTGCAACAGTCGGGTTCCGGAAGAAAAAAATCTGTAGAAGCCCATTTTCACTATGGAAAATACATAAATAAACAAACAAATAAAGTAATTCTCACTAATTCTGTGGTAATTTTGAGTTTATATGTCACAATTCTGACTTTTTTCTGAGAATAATACAAAAATTACAAAAAACAAAAAGTCAGAATTGTGAGATAAAAGAAGTCACAATTACCTTTTATTTTATTTTTTTATTCCGTGGTCAAAACAAAACAAAACAAAACAAAACAAAACAAAACAAAACAAAACAGAACAAAACAAAACAAAACAGAATTTTTTCAAATCAAAACAAATCAAAAACAGAATTGAGAAATGTAAGTTTAAAATTCAAGATGTACGAATACGAGATGTAAACTGACTGTAAAAAATATATCTTGCAATTATTATTATTTTTTCTCAGAATGAAGAGAAAAAAATTGCAATTACTTTTTTTTATTTAATGGTAGAAACACTTTAAAAAAAAATCCAATTTATTGTGTTCATAAGGATTTTTTAATCTGCTCATGAATTCTTTAAGCATCTTAAAAAAAACAAAGAAACAAAATTATGAAAGAAATTACTTAAGGAAAATATATATATCAATAATTGTTTCTATATGATATATAAGATATAATTAATATCTTTCAGTTGTTTTAATATAGTTGTTTTAATGTTTTAAAATATTTTTGTTATCAGTTGGTTTATATTTATCTATTGTTTTCATTTTGGTTATGTCATTTGTAGTGCTTCATGGGACTGTAGTTCTTTCCCTCATTAAAGTACACAGCCTTGTACCTTTGTCTTTTTGCCTGATTTTCAAATACTTCTTTGCTTCAAATCAATGTTTGTAGTGTTGAGATTCTCCTTGTAGCTGGTTGGTTTGGTTCATGGCTTATAACTTTTTAACAAATACTTTTTTAGTATCCATATGGTAAAAATGAATGTAAAAAATGCTCCCAGAACTAAGGCAGCGGAAAAAGTTGAACACTTTTGAGCTCTATATCTAGTGACTGCTCGTCTCTACTGAGGCTTCTCTCCTCTGAGAAGCTGATTGTCGACCCGTAGCGCATCCATCTCCACCTGGGCTCTAACTCTCTGTGTTTTGTTCAGTGACTCTTCTGTGATGTTCCAGATAACATTGAACCAGGTAATTGCTGCCCAGCTGAACTCATTCCACAGGCAGCCACTCACCTGTGTCCCACAGTTCCTGATGCATACTGTAGATGCGTGTCTAATGGGTTCAGTTTCATGAAGTTAGCATGATGGTGACAGGCCATGTTCTCTGGCTGCCTTAATATATCCAAGAGTATATTAGATCATTTCCAACGAGCAGATGTGACCTTACATGCTGTGGCAGTGAATTATGAGTTAGAGGAAAACAAAAGCACAAATAAGATATTTGTAATATTCTAGACAGCTCAGCATTTAGGGAGAACTAATGGAGACATTTGCATAAAGGTGAATGTAATTTCTGTGCCACCAGCAGTACCAAACCAGATAAAGTGTGTGTTTTTGTGTGTGTATGTGTGTGTGTGTGTGTGTGTGTGTGTGTGAATGTATGCGTGTATATATATATATAAAGCATTGTGCATATTAAAAAATATAAAAACAAACATAAATGTATAAATATAGGCTATACTGTACTTCACCTGTATTTATTATTATTTTTATAATTTAAAATAATATTTATTCTTTATTATAATTTTATTACTTGGAAAAGTAACATCCCATAACATATAGTGCATAATATATTTTCAAATTAATCATTGCTTTTACAAACATATATCCAAACAACATTTTACAAATCAAGAAAAAATACAAAAATCAAGAGAAAATATATAAATATATAAGGTAATAACTAAAAATAAAAACATGCATTAAATAAAAGTTTAAAGATTTGAAATATAAATGTTACATTATAAAGCATAAACACAGTTTGAAAGTAGCAGAACAGTTCAGTGTTACTATTACAGTTAATAGTTACTATACTTACTATACTTGTGTTACATGAAAGATTTTAATAAGATCGCCAATTTAAAAATGATTTTTGCATTCCCTTTCATTATGCATATGCATTTGAATGCTGTAATCCATCTCTCTATATTTTATTCCTCTTTTGGAGGAACACAATAGTGTATTTTGTAATGTATTTGCTGCGCTCTCTAATGTAAAGAAGTTTAACCTGCTTTTCTTAACCTCCACGTTCCAAACTTAAAACTGTGAAAAAGATCCATTATCTGAACTATGGCACCTGCATTTGTTTTGTTCTCCTATGCAATTTTAGGAGAAACATCTTAGACAAAGTGCATACTTTATAGTGACAGTTCATTTGTGTTAAACATGCTTCTTCTGGTTTTGTGGATATGGAGGCATTTGTCTTTAGCAGGCAAATACTCTGATATTACTGTAAGCCTAATCATTTACATTTAGTCAAGACTAGTCTTAAAACAACTGCCTCACATTCTATGCAAACCGACACATTGTTAATGGTGTGCACCGAGTTTATCCTTAAATATATATCTGCACTGCCTGCATAGCAGATAATTGTTCACATAAAAGGGCATGTGCGTTAATAAACAGTGATCTTGCATGCTTTCTAGTAAGTAATGAAGGATTCATTGGATGTTATGCATTTTTTATGCACCGATACTTCCTGTAATTTCATTGCAGCTTTCCGGAGATCTATTTTAAAGACATTGAAAGATAATATTTAGCTTGCTTTGCTCTAACAGAAAGCATAACGTAGACATCTATCATTTTTAAAACTATAAAGACAAACCACACCGATGCATCTTAAGGCAGAGCACACAATATTGTCTTAAAGTCAGCTGTGTGAATCAGATGCTGTATTGTAATAAATCTGCTTTCTTCTCTGCATCTGAAAAGCTGAGCTGTGCATAAAAATGGAAAGAGCGTCCCATAATGCAGCCAGGTCATGTGACTTCAGCCAAGTGACAAGGCCACCCCTGAAACATTTTATCTGCTTCCCATAGGGCTCAGTGTCTGATCCTCTCTTGCCCCGCTCATTTATCAGCCCAGACTGTAGGTAATCGCCTCCTTCGCAGCCCTGCTCCTGATATCCCGATTGTATCTCCCTCTGCATAGCGCTGGTGAACACAGGAGAGACACCCACGCTGCTAAACAAGCCCTGTGCAATTTCAAGGCAAACCTGCGCTGAGATCTTTTCCTCCATCTGCTTTCTGCGTTAAGAAGAATTCCCGTGGGATGCAGCCCCATACCGAGGCTTAAATAAACACATTACACACACAAGTTTGCAATTATCTTCTCCCTTCACCCCAAGCACACACACCATTGCTTTATTATTTCAAGGAGTCTCGTCTCAACGGGGCTTGATGTTTTAATAGCGGAGGTTTCCGACTGGTTTAGCACAGAGCCCTGCAGCTTGCCGTATTGACCCCACGCTCTTTGCACTGACCTTTATCTCTGCTCTCCCGCAGGTTCACCCTTTGTTGATGCGCGAGCAGCGCTCGGAGTCGCACAGGAACAAGCTGCTGCGACGGACGGTCAGTGTGCCTGTGGAGGGGAGGCACCATCCTGAAATGGGTGAGTCACACACGTGCCGCCCTGCTGCTTCAATGCCATCACTGCGTGAATCCCTTCCTAAAGGGTTAAAATTCTATAAAAATTACAATGTACAATAGACTACTTAAAGGGTTAGTTCACCCAAAAATGAAAATTCTGTTATAAATTACTCGTTCCAAACCCATAAGACCTTTGTTCATCTTTGGAACACTTTTGATGAAATCTGAGAGCTTTCTGACCCTCCATCAGTGGTGGATGGAGTACACAAATCAAGTACTTGAGTAAAAGTACAGATCCGTATAATAAAATATTACTCCAGTAAAAGTAAAAGTACTCAGTTTTCAATTTTACTCGAGTGAAAGTACAAAAGTACTTGATTTTTTATGTACTTAAGTAAAAAGTACCGATAGATGAATGTTTATTTTGCAGTTTTATATAGGCTACTTTTATCATTTAATTTTATATTAGCATATATTTTTTTATAATCCTACTGCTCAAAATACCTGGGATTTTCCCAAAATAACCAATAAGGAAATAATGAATATAATAAGGAAAATATAATTAGATTTTCATTTTCATCATCAGGTGAGGGCATCACTTCCCACTTTAATAATTACTGTAGTTACCATGTTCTGAACATCACATCCTTTCTTTTTCCCT